TGTTTCCACAACACTTGGGTCACGTGATTTGAGGCATGGTGCTTGCTGCTTGAGACACTAATACTGGGTTGCTGTTAAGGAACTTAAATTGAAATACTACAACAAGGAAGCCCACTATCCCCTAACTATATACCCATATTATGGCACCTTGCCTTAAGTTCCTTGACAGCAACCCCAAAAACGGGAGTTTTGGGACTTGTAACAGGCCTAGGGCAGCCCTCCAGCGGCAAGGTTTGTGGTAGAAAGACTGTCCATGCGACAGACGCCCACGACAGACCCCCTGACAACCCTCCCTGAATCCCAGACCCATGATACTAACATCAAATGCACCAGGGTTCCTATGCTGCAACAAAATTTTGCAATATCTTACCCTAAACCCTCAACCCTAAACCCTAAACCCCCAACCCTTGTTGAGAATCAGGTCCTCTATCCTCTGCCCGAAGCTTCTAAGCTGGCGCTAAACTTGCTTGCTGCTGAGGTGCTTAAACTAAGTTACCATAATCATAATATGGGTATATGGTTAAAAATGTTGTTTCCTTATTATAGTATTTTAATTCAAGTTCCCTACCATAGTCTGGGTATATGGTAAATAGTAGGGTTTCCTTATTATAGTAACTCAGTTTGAAGTCCTGAAGAGGAACCCAGTAAAAAAGGAAGGTCAATGTACTCCTTCAAGACATCCGCACTTGAAAGCTCCCGCCCAGGCGCAGGTTTTGAACTCCCTACCGGAGAACCACGTACTTACCGAAAGGATCCAGTATTACGTGGGTCCTACCACTTCGAGGCACCTAGAGAGTTTGAACTTTTGCCATTACTTGGAGGGTCAGGGGGACTTAGTAAGTAGGTTAATAACCCCAATAACCCATATAGGAACCCCAATTATCCCCCTTATTAACCTACTTACTAAGTCCCCCTGACCTCCAAGTACTACTATTATTACTAGTAAGTATATTTATTATCACTATTACTTAGACTTTTGGTATTAATACTGTTTTTGTTTTTATTTTTACTATTACTATCAAAGTTCTCAAGATCTTGGGGCCCGAGGGTTTGTCCCTTTCACAGGACTCGGGGTGAAATCTGAACCATTTTCAAATGTCTTCGTTGCAGGGTTGTGCTGGGCAGGAATTTCAAGCCCCAGGGCTCGGGCTGTCAGCAGGTTGTACTTTAGAAACGCTGCAGAAGACCCTATGCATCACCTGAAGTGATAGGAGGTCTTTTCAGCTACCTCTCATCCTCCGGATTCTGTGACACAGAGACATACTGAATAATTGAAATGTCCATCTCAGATGTCTGCGTGCAGCGGAGGAGACCCGGTCTTGAAGATAAGATGATACAGGGAGCAAATGAGCATGCAGAAATTTCCACGTAGGAATTCGCGTGTGCTCGATGTTTTGAGAGATGGGGCGTGCCTCCTCCGAGTACTACCACCTCCATCATCGTTAGCATCCGTCCCGTTGTTATTTGGGGCTCGGGCTTCTGGACCCTGCAGTGCAGGCATATGCGCTACCGGATGATGGCGGATGCCCAGGAGCTTCTTAGCGCCGGCCTTGCTACCTTGATCAACAAGCCCTTCCGGGGAGGCCGGATTACCAGGGTGGCTGACGTAGTAGTTAGGTGAAAAGCGGTCTTGAGGGGAATACCGCATGTTGGGGACAATGGATCAAAGTTTAAGGAAGGGCGCAGTAAGTGTTGCAGTCAGGCAGGGAGGCAGTGAGAAATGGAGGGCTGACTCCTACCCAATCCTGGCTCATGCTGGGAACCTCCCCTAATTCCGCACAGCCGAAAGTTCTTCTTGCTTAGTTAAATTAGTTCAAGGCACTATCAGTCTTGTTCTAGAGAGTCTAGAAGAATAGGACGATTTAGCACAACAACAATACCAAGCCGCAGTTGTTGTTGATACTGCTTTGTTTCTTGCAGACATGTATGCACTCGTGTGGGCACTCAGCCTGAGACCCGCGACAAATCCCGGTCACTAATCCGTGACAGCGGCAAGGCGAGTATGATGTGGTCCTTCAAATATCGCCGATTTCAGGCCGGCCGGTGACATGATGCGGCGAGGTTCTCTTCGGAAATATTTGAAGTTCTGGGTCTCAAAGGCTTGGCATAGTGTCTGAGCGCATCATTCTCAATTATGCGGCAGCCATCATTCCGTATAGTTTGTGTTTCTAGTTTACCCAGTTTTGGCGTGTAACCCCCAAGGCATTGGCTTGTCTGTGCGGCTATGATCAATGTCTTCCATGACTTACTTCTGCTGAATCCTACAGACCTTGCTAAATATCTGGAATAGAATCAAACCAGGACCTAGAGCGCTACAGCCTGCGTTTCCTATTCAAGTTCCAGAGCTCAAGAGAATAGCATGGGTTTCTGCAAATGGCGACTTTCAAATCATCACCAAATCCGATCCAAGCCCCCCGAACAGGTTTCTCATCAGATTTCGACAATCCTCAACCTCCGCCACTGGGAGCGCTGGCACATGTACTTCCAAGACCCGGTGCGAGAGGCGCGGAGACGTGGGCTCTTCAGGGCGTGGTCTTTTCTGACCTGCGTACGCGGTTGGTTGCACCAGCAGCAGCTGATCTTTCGATGCGAGTAGACATGGCCGGATTGCGCATTTCTGGCTGGTATCTGCCCTGCAGGCGTCTGTGGAGGGTCAGCATACCACTAGCACTCATGAATTAGTTTGGACAGCCCTCCAACGCAAGAGAAACAACTGACTTCAGCTGAAATTCTGGATCAAGGATTAAAAGGCTGAGTCTCCCTGATTCCTGCATAAGCCTCATTCCAGACCTGAGGATCCTTTGTACGCTAGAACTGCTGATTTCCGACACAATCACCGCATCATACTTGTAGAATCCTTTATGCATGTCATGTGCCGAGGCCTGAGTTACATCGTCGTGGGAGGAGAGGGCGCAACGAATTTCCCGCGAGATGAACTGCATACAGGCTTCAAGAAGTACATGGAACGGAGCCTTGGGTGCGTACCACTGACTACTGCAGCTGGTCAAATCATGGCTCTGCACAGCGCTGCGAATATCAGAGCGTTCACCGTTTGTTTCTTAATTGCTGGTACCTCCATTGTGCTTTCTGGCTCCTAGGCCCTTTAATCTTTAGTTGGCTATCTGCTTCCCATCTGGCCATCAGTCCAATCAGGCTTTTGATCAGCCAGTCAGTCCGCCCATCCAGCCAGCCATCCATCCATCTGCCCGCACTCCTGCCTGTGCTTATCCGATCTGACTTAGTTGATTGGGATCATCATCTGAACTTAAGGATCTTCCAGAAGGCCCTATTCCATACAATTATGTAGCGGCAGCGTAGAGATGTAGAAAAAGCGGCCTGCGGAGACTGGAGCAATCATCTGGGGCTTGCCGGTCTGCTTGTGCTGTCTACGCGAGGGGAGCGTTCCTTGTTGAATAAACCCTAAACCCTGTAACAAAATGGTAGTTTCCCAAAATAAGGGGACCCCAATATAAACCCCAATATACTATAATCCTTATTATGGGGACCCTCAATAAGAAAGCCTGGGGAGGGTGAGTGCGGCAGATTGCCGCCCACTAAGGATAGGCTTTACAGCTGTGCACGTGGAGAAGGCCAACTACCTCAATTGGGACCCTTGAATCTGATCAGTTTGTCCATGGAGTGCCAAGCCAAGGCAGTAGATTGTCTTGGTCAGCTCAACACACAAGTGTTGCTCATACTGCAGCATGTAGCAGCCTCAAAATTAATATAAGAGCAACCCAATGAGGCAGAGCCTAAACTGATGTGGCCATTTACACTCTTCCATCGTCTCAGGAGAAAGCCATGTTCGATACCTTTCCTCCGAAGCTGACGGAGCTCGTCTTGGATGATGAGTGGAATAAGGTCCCCTCTGCATATGGTTTGTAAAAGCACGCTGCGGCACATTGTACGTTCTCATGTTGGTGGGCCTATTAGCTGGTAGCTAGCGCTTTTGGGAATTTTTGTGTTCCTGGCATTGAGAACATGAGGAATATGGGTCATGAAGTATGTGGCTAATTTGCTCAATGCGGCACATCCTACTTGCGGTTTTCAACATGTCCACTGACTCGTGGTTCAGCACAATCTTTAAGCAGCTCCCTCCGGAACACTAGCAGGACATCGGGTGTATAGCCGCAATTGCAGCTGCCGTCCATTGTAACACTTGGGACTCACGAGTTTAGGAACTGAGAATTGCTTCTGGTATCCATTCCCAGAAGCAGCACCACTTTGCTTTGCGCCACCTGTTGGGGTGTTGCAAGCTCTGTAGTATAATCTGTACAAGACATGATCCCCATCACATGCATATAAGCAGTTAGAGTAACTATAAACAATAGTAGTTTGGCATGGGTTGTAATTATGGTAGTAGTAGCACAATACTAACCGTAAGAACGGTAATGACAGTAACAGCAACAGCTGAGAATTGAACTCCCCTCCCTGAACCCTAAACTGCCGGAACGGCTCTGGCAGGCAGTTGGAAGAATACCGCCGATGGTTGTGGCTTGGTCTGTAACCCAGGACATGGTAGCTTCCCAACACAGGGGACCCCAATGTAGACCCCCAAACATGCGATAATTTGTGTAGAGACCCCTGAAAAGGTATTCCTAATTTTGGGAACCCCCCGCATGATTCTGGGATAACAAGGCTAACAGTGGAGCACCGTTGACTCGCGCTCCCCTTTTCTGAGGGTTGCACATGGGTAGTTCCCAAAATTAGGGTCCCATTCTCGTGCCCCTAGATATTAGGTGCCATGATATAATCTATAACCGAATGGAACCTGCAATTTTTAGAGCAACCCACATCTTTGGCGCAAGGTTCAATTAGGTGCAAGCTGTAGGTCTCTGTGGCCTCGGCTTTGGGTTCTGTCCATTAAGTTTCGAAGGCGAATCTCTTTGTCCGCTTTCGCGTGAACACCCTCGTGAATTACGAAGTTGTGGATCGCGCGTTTGCGGCCTTTGAGGAGGATTTGCGAGGAACGCCAGATTATGCCCCCTGGTCAGACAACACTTCAGCCTGTGTTTAACCTGCTCTTCACACAGGCTCTAGGTAATGTGCGCGCTTGTTCTCGCAGAGTTGGATTCATGAAAAGCTTGGTGCGCTCAACTCAGGTTCGGGCTACAAAGTGGTGGATCTCTGTGGAGAAGAAGGTTCTCCAGAGCATCCGCGATGGATACATCAAGCGTTCCCGGGAAGCGGACAGTAAGTCCAAAGACAGCTTCGGCAATGTTCTCGTCAGTGAGAAGGCGGGGCTGGGCAAAGCTAAGTCTCCTTCTGCAATGTGCTGGGCTGTAATTAGCTGCTATGCTTTCCCTAACTGTACCTTTGCTGTTTGATAGTCCCAAGGTGAAGGGCATGAAGATGTCCTGGGAGTCCATCTGCTCTCGCGTTTGCGTCAGAGACATCCTGGCTAGCACGGATATCACGGAGACCACCTTCTCCAAGCAGAATTTGGATGACATCCTGTGCTACGCGGTCACGAGCATGACCAGCAAGCTGTTGCGCATCTACGCTTTCAACAGGCCTGTGGTGCAGGGATCATCGGGCAAGTAACCTTTGTGGTAATCATCATGCTGTCCCATTTATCTAGCACAAGAAAATGGCAGTGACATGGCTGGTCATCCACTGAAGTAGGATCCTATATGGAAGGGGGATCGATTGTTATAAGTTCTTCCTGCATGGCGGCAAGGTACGTTAGCGGGCGCGATCCTGACATCGCGCAGCTTGAGCCGTACCTGCTGGGCACGAAGGATGCAGATGATGGCGAGCGAGAGCGAGAGAAAGAGAGAGGTCTCGTTGGTTCTCCTGGCTGAAGACAGTTTGGACACTGAATTTTCCAAGCGTAGGAGTGTAGGGTGGAGGACTAGGACCTGGATCGCAGGAAGCTCGAGGTCCGCAGAACTGCGGCTCATTGCCTGTTTGGTTCAGAACGGACTCTGCCTTGGTCTCTTCTTGAACACGAATTTGCAATTACAGTCCGCAAGCATAAGCTACCACCGTACGTTGACCTGTTCGTCGCACGTCTGCTTGGGTACAGGCTTCTTCACGAAACGCTTCAGTACCACGCAGTGCCGAAAGGGCTTCACTTTGCCAGCGGTTGACGTAAAGAATGTAATTAAAGCATGTCAATCAGCGGTGTACCTTCTTCATCATGTATGTAAGTAGGCATGACGACAGAAAATCATTTGGGCCCCTGAAGCGCCGAATTGGCGCATGAAGGACGACCACCACAAACCCGCAATTGTGTTCTATGTGCTTAAGAGCTTTAGAGCCAGCACTGCAGTTCTGAACCTTTCCAGGACACCTCAGCGATGGACTTCCGGAACTTTCCGGAGCTCCACGGCGACATCTCGGCCATCCAGAAAGAGGCCGGGGCGCTTTGGGAGCACCCCTACATCCTTCGTACAGATGCTGCAGCTATCATTCGTCCAACTCTAGCAACAATTTGGCAAGGTAGCTTTGACACAATCAGGGCGAACCCTGAGCTGTGCCCCTTCATGTTCAAGACTTCCTGCTAGCACACTGTGTTACACTCTATGGAGTGTGCATTGAAAGGAGAGAAAGAATGTCACATTTGGGCAGGGATATGCGGGGATGTTGCGCACAGCGTTGGCACGCGCCTTTTTCGCCTGTGTTGCTTTCAGGTTGTTGGCAATCCGATGTACGACCCGGCCGGCATGCTGGTGGGATTAGCCTTGATGAGTGCCACCGAGGAACAGGCGCCCTCCTCATCTGGGACACGCCAATATGGGGGCCTTAGTGGGGGGTCCCATAATAAGCATCATCGTATTGTTGGATCCATATTTTGGGTTCGAAGCTACCACATATATGAATCGGCAGCGGGCAAACATGGCTTAGAGAGAGGTGATCCTGATGCAACGTGCTATGCTGTTTCAGACTTTGAGAAGAGCCCCCTCGACTAAGAGGTGCCCCAGCTTACCCAGAGTTGTCAGGTTTGAAGCCTGCACTTTGAACTTGCTTCTGATGTCTTTTTCGGTGCTCCAGCTGCAACTTTCGGCGATCAGAATGTGATTGCACTCGAATCTGAGATGCATTTGAACATGCAATGATGCGGACCTTTTGCAGAACGCCGTGGCATGCTCTCAATCCAAACCCCATCAATCATCCCTCAGCCTGATCTTCAAAATATAAGGAGGAGTGTCCACCTTATTCCAGGGTTCGGGAACAATAAAATCGAAATGGAAGGCCTCGCGTGTGAACAACAAGCTCTTGCTTGCAGAGTCCCTGATTTCGCCAGAGGAGCCGGGTTGTGGGCTCGAGTTTCAGAGAATTGCTGGGTTGCTGTTAAGGA